GGCAGCGCGACGGGTCGGCGTCGAACACCGGGTTGAGGAAGCACCCCAACGGAACAGCCACGCGGACGGCCTCAAGAAACCCGTCGTTGAGCGGGACGTCACGCTCCAGCAGGAGACGGGCGACGTACATCACGGCGCTCCGCGTGACCGCGAGCGGCGCGTTGATGTTGCCGGGGTGCGTCGCGCTCGTGCCGTCGAAGTCGATGGTCAGCCCGACCGCCGCTCGATCGAGTTTCACGCGGATCTCGTGGCCGTCGTCCATCGTCTCGACAACCGACACGGGCAGGCCGCCGACCGACGAAAGGCGATCGCGCGTGAGGCGTGCGGTGTGGTCAATCACCCACGCCATCGCGTCGAGCACGCGCCCCCGCCCGAACTCATCGTTCGCGTGGCGCAGGAGCTCGATCGCGCGGTTCCCCGCGAGGATCGACGCGTGGAGATCGGAGATGTTGTCGTCCACAGCGCGGGACGGGTGCTTGCCGGAAGCGAAGATCGCTCTGGCGTCTTCCTCAAGAAATCGCCCGCCGCGCGCGACGAGTACCGGCGGGATCACCACGCCCTCGTCGGCGAGCGAAGACGCGTCCGGCGGCATGGAGCCGGGGGTCGTCCCGCCGATCTCCGCGTGGTGCGCCCGGCTCGCGACGTACCCGAGGCGCTCCCCTCCTGCGTCGAACACCGGCTGCACGACGGTCAGGTCGGGCAGGTGTGAGCCGCCGAACGCCGGGTGATTGGTGAGCACCGCGTCGCCGTGGCCAAGGTCGGGGAACGCCTCGATCACGGCCCGAACGCACGGCCCCAGCGCGCCGAGGTGCACGGGCAGGTGCGCCGCGGAGGTGACGAGACGGCCGTCTCGATCCAGCACGCCGCAGGAGTAATCGCGCCGGTCTTTAACGTTTACCGAGACCGCGGCACGCTCGAGCGCCTCGCCCATCTGCTCGGCGACGGACGTGAGCCGGTGCAGGACCAGCTCGCGCGCGAGCGATTTTTCCGCGACGCTCTCGGCGTGTGCGGCGCCCTCGTGGGTCGCGCGGATTGTGCCGTCGCGCTCGATCGTGGCCGACCAGCCGGGCGGGATCCACGTCTGCGTGCGCATCTCGCGCACGAACGCGGGGCCGACGATCGACATTCCTGCCGGCATCGCGTCGCGGTCGTGAACCGAGGCGTCGATCCAGGATGCGCCGTCGTGGGCACGACGGGACGATGCCGCCAAGCCCCCGTCATCCAAAGTCGGCCGCCACCCGTCGGGATCGGATCGGGCGCCGGCGATCCTCGCCACGACCCGGACGCCGACGAGCTCGATCTCTCGGTTCGGCGGAGAGCCGTGGACGCGCTCGTATTCCACGTTGAATCGCGACTCGACGCCCGCGAGATCGCCGAGCGGGACGGTGATGGTCGCGTTCTGACCTTTGAGGCGCAGTCGAGCCGATTTCTCGCATTCCACCGACACGTGTTCGCTCACACCGAGTCGCTTTGTCGCGTCACGCGAGAGTTCTTCGATCGTCTCCTCGAGGAGGCACGACGACCCCGCGAGCGGGACGAGCAGCTCGCGCTCCGCGTCCGCTTGCCGTGCGGCCTCGTGCAGGCCGACGGCGCTGAGCAGGCTCGCGCGGCGCGGGACAAGGACCGTCCGGATGCCGAGCCGCGACGCCACGTCGCACGCGTGCTGCGGGCCCGCGCCGCCGAACGCGACGAGGGGGTGGTCCGCGGGGTCGTAGCCGTTTCGGACGGAGACGGTGCGGATCGCCTCGGCCATCGCCTCGTTGGTGAGTTCGAGCAGGCCGGCGAGCGTCCGCTCATGAGAGCCGCTCGTCGCCGAGTTCTGCGCGCAAAACTCGGCGAATGCGCGTTCGGACCCACCTCGATCGATCGGGATCTCGAACGCGTTTTCGTCGATCCGCCCGAGGAGCAGGTTCACGTCCGTCACGGTCAGCGGCCCGCCGGCGCCGTAGCACGCCGGACCGGGTTCGGCGCCGGCGCTCCGCGGGCCGACGGCCGGGCGGCCGTCGACGAACTCGCAGATCGATCCGCCGCCCGCCGCGACGGTGCGGATGTCCACCGCCGGTCGCGGCACGGAGACGCCCCCCACTTCGTGCGAGGGCGCAAGGTCCGCGTCGCCCCCGATCCGCGCCACGTCCGTCGACGTCCCGCCCATGTCGAAACTCAGCACACGCTCAAACCCGAGTGTCCGGCCGACCTCGCGCGCCCCGATCACGCCAGCGGCAGGGCCCGAGAGCAGCGAGTCGATGGGTCGGAAGGTGCGGATGTCGGTCAGTCCGCCGTCGCTCTTCATGGCTTCGATCCGTCCGGCGTCGAGCGAGGCCGTCACCTTCTCGACGTACGACGAGAGGACGGGTCCCAGCGAGGCCTCGATCGTCGCGGCCTGCGCCCTCGCGAGCAGGCCGATGCGCGGCGCGACGTCCGACGAGCGCACCACGCGTGAGATGCCCGCGCGTCGGCAGATCTCCTCGACGGCTCTCTCCTGCGCGTCGTCGGCCCATGAATTGACCGTGGCGATGGCGACTGCATCGATCCCGCTCCGCATGATGCGCTCCGCGACTTCGCCGGCGGCGTCCGCGTCGAGCTGTTCCACGACGGCTCCGTCCGGACCCATCCGGCCCGAGACGCCGAACGTCACGTCGGTGAGCGGAGCGGCGCGGGAAGGCGAGATCGCGAAGAGACCGTCGCGTCGCTGATCGCCAATGCGAAGCACGTCTTCGAAACCGCGGGTCGTGATAAGCGCCACGCCTGCCATTCGCCGCTCGAGCAGCGCGTTCGTAGCGCGCGTGGTCGCGAAGCGGAACTCGACGCACCGGACGGGCTCGGGGTAGGGCGTGCCGGTGATGATCCTCGCGGCGAGGATCGGCGCGGACTCGCCCGTTCCGAACTCGATCGTCGAACCCGCGGGAACATCCGCGGTCTCGCCGGAGAGCCGGACGGACGCCCCCTCGACCGATTCGATGGTCCCGAGCGTCTCGCCACCGATCCGGACGCTCGCTCCGACAAGCAGCGGCAGGATCGAGGGCCAGGACTCGCCCCGGAGGTTCAATGAGCCGCCGGATGTATCGGCCACAGATCCCCGGAGAACGCCCGAGGTGAGGACCTTGGCCTCGCGCTCGCCGTGGCGAGGGTGGAAGCCCACCGCGTCGGTAAACGTGCCCCCGACGTCGACGCGGATCCGCCATGTGTTCTCGCCCGTCATGCCCGATCAGGGTAGCTCAGTGGCGCATACAAAAGGCGCCGGCTCGTGTGGAGCCGGCGCCTCGTGGCATACAGAGATTCTGACCGCGCTCAGAAGAGGATCTGGATCTGAGCGAGGAAGGCGAACTGGTCGTCGTCGTCACTCGCCAGGAGCGAGTAGAGGTTGCTCGGGGGCGCGTTGCCCGTCGTGCCGTTGCCCGGCACCGGGCGGCCGGCGCGGGTGTTGGTGGTCTCGTCAAGGAAGTAGTGAGCCTGGAGGGTGAACTTCAGAGCGTTGCCGCGGAAATAGTGGTTAAAGCCAACGATGATCTCGTTGAAATCCTGATCGGCGGCGCGATCCTCGTCGGGGGCGATGTGCGAGTAGCGGGCGAAGAGCTCGGTCTTGTCGGAGACGTACACGCCGCCCTGGACAAGGAAGCCGTAGTCGTCGAAGTTCATGCCGCCGCCCTGGACATCGTCGAGGTGATGGCCGACGCCCTGGACGGAGAAGTTCCAGCCGTCGCCCTCGAGGAGCAGCTCGGCGCTCCAGGCGAAGAGCTCCTGGTCATCGGCGGGCGCGACCACGTCGCTCGACCCGGTCTCCCAGTGAACAGCGCCACCGAACTGCGCCGCGAACTCCTGGCCGCGCGGGCCTGTGTAGGCCGCGAGCTGGCTCCACTCGCCGTCGAGCTTCCAATCGAAGCGGGCGGTCAGGCCGATGTCGGCGGGGTCGGCGTTGAAGTCGGTGTTGATGGAACGGAGACCGTCGGAGATCGTCCCGATGAATCGGAAGTCCTCGTTCTGGTACTTCAGCTCGACGGCCTGGGACCAGTTCTGATCGAAGAACTGCGTGGTGAGCGGGCGGTCGGCGCTGAGGGTGCCGGTGTCGCTCAGGTAACGGTCGAGCATGAAGGCGGTGCGGAACTGGCCGGCGCGGATGGACCAGCCGTTGTCCCACTTGTAGCTGATGTACGCGTCGTCGAGACGCGGGTTGGCGTTGTCGTACGACGTCAGCATGACGGAGTACCCGATCTTCGGGTCGCCCACATGGCCGTTGAACCAGATGCGGCCGCGTGAGATCGAGAAGCCGCCCTCGTAGTCGTCGTCGTTGTTGAGGGTGTGATCGGAGCCGAAGAAGTTGGCGTGGTAGCGGAACTGCACCATGCCCTGGATGTTGAGTCGGAAGTTGCCCTCGGCGTCGGCGAGGAAGAACTTGCCGTCGTGGCCGGCGGTCGCGCCGTCCTGGAGCAGGCTCGAACGGGTCTGCGCATCGGCGAGGACCTCGTTCACGATCGCCCGAACCTCGTCCGTGCTGACGGGGCCCGGGGTGGACGCGTGCGCCACGGCGGGACACGCCATCGCGGCGGCCGTGAGGCCCAGCGTCTTCAAAGTCTTGGTGCGTGTCTTCATGTCTACTTCCTTTTTCGATGTTGAGGCGGCTCTCGCACAGGGGTGTGCCGAGCCGCACGTGTCACGCGACCGTCCGAAAACCATGGGCGGCCGCCTTGAGGCGTTCTGATCGGGATGGCTTCGGGGGGACTTCACCGAAAATCGGCGCGACCCCCTGATTTGTGTACGGTTATCCGGACGCACAGGCCGCAGAGGCAGACCACCCGAATAGGGTTCTCGGGTCCTTCTGTGGTGTCTGGTTGCCCATCGGATGGGGAAGGCGGCCTCGGTGGTGTTCGCCAGGGTCACGAGAGCACCAAGCCGGCCGACACGGGGTACGAACATCGCTCTGACGGCGGACACAAGCGATCTGTTGGACGAGAACGAAGACGTCCCGCCACCTTTCGGCGGGGGGACGCGGGGTGGTCGTGTGGTTATTCGATCGGGACGCCGGCGATCGACGTGTTGCCGAGCGGGGCGAGCTTGCCGTCGTTGACCCAGGTCAGGAAGACGTTGTCCGAGCCCTGGTGGTCATCGGGGCCGAATTCGAGGACAAAGCCGCCGAGATCAAACGTGCCGGTGTTCTGCACGGACGCGAGAAAGGCCTCGCGAGAGGGCGTGCCCTCGACGTTGTCGAGCGCGTTCACGAAGAACTTCCCGGCAAGGTACCCCTCGAGGGTGACAAAGCCGATCTGGTCGGACTTGCCGGCCTTGTTCATCTCGTTGTGGAACTCCTTGACGACGGGGATCGAGGTGTCCCAGGGGAAGGGGACGACCTGCGAGATGATCACACCCTCGCCGAGGGAGCCGAGTTCGCTCGTGAGCGCCTTGGTACCGACGAAGGAGATGTTGCAGAACACGGCGCTCTTGGTGGCGTCGTTGGACTTGGCTTGCTTGATGAATTCCGCACAGGGCTTGTAGGCGCCGACCATGATGATGGCGTCCGGGTTGGTGCCGGCGACGTCGCTCAGGCCCTGGCCGACCGCGACGGTGTTGCGCTCGTAGGTGCCGGTCCCGGCGAGAGACATGCCGCGGGATTCGAGGGCCTTGGTGATGCCCGCGAGGCCGGCCTGGCCGTAGCCGTCGTTCTGGTAGAAGCAGGCGATGTTCTTGAGGCCCTGCTCATCGACGAGGTAAGCGGCGAGCGCCTCCATCTCCTGGTTGTAAGAAGCGCGGAGGTTGACCACGTACTTCTTGAACGGGTTGCGGAGGAACTCGGCGCCCGTGAACGGGGCGACGAAGGGGACCTCGTTCGCCTCGCAGACCGGGACCGCGGCCTTGGCCGTCGGTGTGCCGACGCCGCCGATCATCATGAAGACCTTCGCCTTCTCGATGAGCGCGGTGACGGCCTTCTCGCAGCGGTCGGGCTCGTAGCTGTCGTTCATGGACTTGAGTTCGATCGTGCGGCCGTCGACGCCGCCGTTGGCGTTCGCGACGCCGAATGCGACCGTGAGGCCGGTCTGCATGCCGGTGCCGAGCGCCTCGGCCGGGCCGTTGAGAGCGCAGGACTGGCCCAGGAGAACGGAATTGTCCGTCACGCCGTTCTCGGCGCCGGCGACGCCGACAAGGGCGGCTCCGGTGAACGCGAGCGCAAGCATCGCTTTGGAAAATCGATTCATGGTCTTGACCTCTCTTCTGTTGTTCTGTGCCGTCTGTCGGCGGATTCAACGCTCGGGCCGCGCGAACGGTGGCGCCCACGAGCCGGTGCGTCTATCGACACATCCCAAACACGCGATCATGCACCGATCAGGCCTCATCGCACAGAATCGCGGCCGCGCGTGCATAATCGTCAGAGTCGTGTGCGGATTCCAAGTGATTCGGGCGAGATAAGAGGTGAGTCCGCGCCGGTTATGACTCGCTGCATCGCACTTTTCCGCGCCTCAGCGCAGTGTTGAGCCTGTGCGGATGTCGGCAGATCTGAATCAACGCGCGAATACGACCGGATCCGGTGGTGCCGCGGGTGTTATCGATCCCGAATGATGCGTTCGAGGAAGATCTCGCCGAACTGCTGGAGTTTCGCGTTGCCAATCCCTTTGACCTCGAGCATCTCGCCCAGAGTGGCGGGCTTGCGCCTCGCCATCTCCCGAAGGGTGGCGTCTCCGAAGACGACGTACGCGGGGACCTCCCGTTCCTGGGCGATCTCCGCGCGGAGTTCGCGGAGCTTCTCGAACAGCTCACGATCGACGCCCTCCCAGTCCGCCTCCGCGTGGCGGGATCGCTCCCGGCCCGACCTCGTCTCGGCGACGTTCGGGCGGCGCAGGACGGTCTCGGGCTCTCCCTTGAGGAAACGCGAGGATTCCCCCGTCAGCCGGAGCACCGGCCGGTCCCCGGGGGTCCGCTCCAGCGCTCCGAGGTCGCAGAGCTGGTCTATATAGGAATGCAGCACGGGCACTGCTTCGCCCTTCATCAGGCCGTACACGCTCAGCCGGTCGTGCCCGTATCGGGTGAGCTTCTCCTTGCGCGATCCTTTTAAGACGTCGATGACGTGGGCCGCGCCGAACGAGCTGTTCAGGCGTGCCACCGCGGAGAGGATCTTCTGCGCGATCACAGGAGCGTCCTCGACGGCGACGGACTCGCCCAGGCAGACGTCGCACGCCCCGCATCGCTCCTGATCGAGCGTCTGGTCGAAGTACTCCGCGAGCTGCGCATGGCGGCAGCGCATCGAGGAGCAGAACCGGCGCATGCGCTCGAGCAGCTCGCTCTGGTGCTCGGGCATCGACTCTTCACCCGCTTCCTGTGCGCTGCGGGTCATCAGCCGGCGCCACGAGAGCACGTCGGCCGAGGAGTAGAGCAGCAGGCACTCGGCCTCCAGGCTGTCGCGTCCGGCGCGGCCGGCTTCCTGTTGATAATGCTCGATGGACTTGGGCATCGCCATATGCACGACGCAACGGACATTACTCCGGTCCACGCCCATGCCGAAGGCGACCGTCGCGCACACGACCTGGAGCCGCTCCTGCATGAAACGGTCCTGCACGCGCTGTCGGACGTTCGGCGACAGGCCCGCGTGGTAGGCCGCGGCCTCGACGCCACGTGCCTTGAGCCAGCCGGCGGTTTTCTCTGTGTCGTTGCGGCTGAGGCAGTAGACGATGACCGCCTCGTGCTCGTGTCGATTGACGGCTTCGAGGAGCTGGCCTCGCGCGTCGACACGCGGGAGGACGCGGTAGATCAGGTTCGGCCGGTCGCAGTCGCCGACCAGCGTGACCGCGTCGCGCAGGCCGAGCTGCTGCGCGATGTCATCGCGCACCTGAGCCGTGGCCGTCGCGGTGAAGGCGTGCCACGCGGCGTCCGGCACGACGGACTTGAGATCGGTCAGCCGGCGGTACTCGGGGCGGAAGTCGTGCCCCCAGTGGCTGATGCAGTGCGCCTCGTCGATGACGATCGCGTTCGGCTTCGTGCGTGCCAGGAGCGAACGCATCTTCGAAGTGAGCAACCGCTCCGGCGCCGAGAAGAGCAGCCGGACGTCGCCCGATTCCACGGCGTGCAGGGCCGCGTCCTGTTCCTCGGGGGACATCCCGGAGTGCACGGCGACCGCGGGAACGCCCGAGGCGATAAGGCCATCGACCTGATCCTTCATGAGAGAGATGAGCGGGCTGACGACGACGTCGTAGCCGTCGCGCATGAGCGCCGGGAGCTGGTAGCAGAGCGATTTGCCGCCGCCGGTCGGGAGGACAACGAGCGAATCCCGCCCGTCGAGCGACGCGCGGATGGCGCTCTCCTGCATCGGGCGGAGGGTCTCGTAGCCCCAGTACGCCCTCAGGGCGTCGTGCACGGAGTCGAGCGTCGCGTCGTTCGGCATACCCGGATACTAACCGAACAGGCGGGCCTTGTGTCTCCGGGGCGAGGGCGTTGCCAGTTCCGAAGGGATCAGCGGCGGCGGCGGTGTCCGGCTGACGCACCGGCGAGCGCGAGGAGCGCCGCGGTACCGGGCGTGGGCACGATCTCGAGCTGCAGCACCTGCCCGCCCTGCGCGGGCAGCTCGTTGAAGCCGTCGGCGAGCGTGTCGGCGGCGAGCGAGATGAAGAGGAAACCGGTGTATCCGAAGTTCTCGGGGACGACGAGGTCCATCGAGACGATGGTGCCGGCGCCGTAGCTGTCGCCGATGAGGACGTTGGAGAACTCGATGTCCGTCGCGGTCGGGAGGACCGGGTCGAAGAACGTCGTGGGATTGATCTCCGCGGGGAGCGACGCGGCGTCCGGCGTCGAGTCGTCGAAGACGTCGCCCGTGCCGAACGGCGCGTCCCAGGCGTAGTCCATGAGCATGAGCCCGGGCTCGGTGAAGCGCATCTGGAAGAGCACGGAGTTGTACTCCGGGAGCGTGTCGCCCGTCACGGCGACCGCGACGTCGATCGAGAAGCTCTCGCCCCAGTTCAGAACGATGCTGTTCGCCCCGCCGCTCGTCGGCGTGAGCTCGTAGCTCGTCCCGGCGTGCGCCCCCGCTGTTGCCATCCCGGCGATCACAAACGCCAGACCGATCGATGAATTCCGCATACGACTCAACTCCTCTGGCCCGCGACGGGCACCCCCGACGCGAGCGTTTGACCTGTGCAAGCGCGACCGACGGCTCTCACCGACGGACGCGGGGGATCTTTTCTTACTCCTCGTCGAATCCGCTCAGGGAGCGGGCGTCGAGCGAGGGCTCGTTCTCACGACCGGCGGACACCTTGACGGCGTCCGTCGCGTCGATCGTCTCGGACTCGCGGACGGCGTCGAAGAACGCCTCGGCCGCGGGGCTCGTGGCGTCGGGCTCGCCCGCCTCGACGCAGTCGAGCGAGCAGGGGAAGCCCGCGGGCGTGCTCGAGACGTGACGCACGCCGCGATCGGCCATCGCCTCGTACATCGAGGCGATCAGCCTCGACGGGAAGGCGATACCGGAGTCGGTGTGCGTGACCAGGACACCGGCGCGATCGCTCATCGCGAGGGCCGCGAGGAGAGAGGACGTCGTGCCCGAGATCATCGAGCGGGACGCGTCTCCACGGAATCCGCCGAGCCACTCGACGCCGACGAGCGAACCCGTGAGCGTGCGCGCCTCGGTGGCGATGAGCACCGCGGGGGTCGCGTCGGGCGCGAAGACCGCGATGTCAGCCGCGGCGCCCGAGAGCGTGACGGACGGCTCGCCGCCGGCGAGTTCGCGGCCGGCCTTGCCGAACGCGAGCATGTCCGCCTCGACGATCGCCACGTCCTTGCGCTCCGCGAAGCGGTTCGCGAGGTGGAGGACGTCCTCGCCCGTCATCACGCCGGGCGTGACGCGGTAGAGGTTGGCGACACCCATCGCGTCGGCCTCGACGAGCGCCTGAGCGCCGGCGAGCGACCCGATGACCAGCTCCGCCCACTCTACCGGGAACCGCTCGTCGAAGCGGACAAGCAGGTGCGGCATGGGTGTCGCGCGGCTCGCGCCGTCTTCGGAGACGAGCACCGGCGAGGTGAACAGGCCGCTGCGGGAGAGCGCCTGCGCAAAGCTCGTGCGGTCCGACTCTCGCGTCATGTTCGGCGGGAGCGGCGACGTCCACCAGCCGTGCTCGGGGAGCGGCGTGACGGTCGTCGGGTCGATCCCGTACTGGGCCAGGACCGAATCCACCTCCATCGCGCCGCCCGCGTCGTAGACGGCGATGCGGTTCTCTTCGATGGTGTAGAAGAACACGTCGTCGCCGATGGCGAAGCGGAGGGTGGCGTCCTCGGATGAGGTGTCATCGGAATCATCGTCCGCTTCGGCCAGGGGATCCTCGGACGCCTCAGGCGCAGCTTCGGGGCCGGCGCCGTTCGGGTTCCCGGTGAACGAGCCGGGATCGAGGGCCCACTCCTGCTCGGCATCGGAGCCGGGGTTCTTCGTGCTGAAGCACGGGTTGACGACGAACCGCGCGTCGTCGCCGCGAGCGCTCAGCGCGATCATGACGTCGTCCATGGTGACGGCGCCGTCGGTGTTGAGGTCCGAACGGACGTGGAAGAGATCCATCGGGTCGATGGGGTTGGTGCCGACGAGCGTGCCGATGCCGCCGACGTCGGTGTTGTTGACGCGCCGGTCGCCCGTTGCGTCGCCCGGCAGGGCGGTGAGGTCGACGCGGGAGGCGTCGCCGCCGATCACGTTGCCGGCCCGGTCCGCCACGCCGGCGAGTTGGATGCAGTAGCGGACCCCGGTCGGGAGCGGCGGGTCGAACCGCACCTCGCCGACCGTGTCGCCCAGCCGGAGGCTGACCGTCTCGGTGACGCCCGAGAGGTCCACCGGGTCGCCGGCCAGGTCGTTGCCGTCCACCGCGACCGTGAGCGTGTTGAACGTCGCGGCGTCGATGGGCTCATCGAAGGTGTAGACGATGGCGACGATGCCGCCTTCGCGCGGCTCGGAGGAGGGAACGCCCGGCTCGATGAGCAGGCCGACCTCGCCCAGGTCGTTGCCGTGCTCGACGACGGACTGGATCGCGAGGGCCACGGGCGCCTCGTTGTCCGGGTCGAAGGTCACGGTGTACTCGCCGTCGCCGCCGAAGTCGAAGATGTGGATGAAGCGCTCGACGGGGCTGCCCGCGGAGTTGCGGTCGATGCGGCTCGTCTGCCACGCGTTCTCGGGGGTCAGCAGCGGCGAGCCGTCGGAGCGCGTCACGCCGGAGAGGCGGTACGAGCCGTCGAACGGGTCGTCGATGCGGATGTAGTTCCAACCGTTCGGCTCCACCTCGGCGTTGATCGTCGCGGTGAGCGTGCCGACGTCGGAGGTGAAGAACGGGTCGATCTCGGTTTCCACCACCTCCACGCGCCCGTCGGAGAGGTGCACGCGGTCGGGGAGGTCACGCGGATCGGGGAAGTCGTTGGTGAGGAAGTCCGGGAGGGTGTCCGCGGTCATCGTCGTGTCCATGACGACGTGGTTGAGGCCGAAGATGTCGACGGACTCGATCACGGAGAGGCGCGGGTCGCCCAGGCCGGTGACGTGCTCGTACGACGCGGAGTAGCTCACGAACTCGCCCTGGAGCGAGGAGATCATGAGCCAGCGCGCCGTGTTGGACGCGTCCGGCCCGATGTCGCCCAGGTTGACCGTGAGCGAGGGCGTGAGCTCCTCGGTGCCGACCTGCGTGCCGATGATCTCGAAGTCGATGAGCAGGCCGCGGTCGTTCTCGATGATCTCGGGCTGGGACGACGTGATGGTGAGATCACGCGCGACGCCGGCGCCGTTGTTCTTCACGAGCAGGCCGAGGTTGAAGGGGATCGAGGGCTCGAACTCGGGGGTGAAGGGGTCGTCCGCGAAGACGACGGTCTCGAGGTAGTACTTGAGCTGGAGCGAGGGGTCGGGGAGGACCGTGATCGACGCCGGCGCGAGGGGCACGGTGACGATCGAGCCGTCCTGTTCGTACTGGAACGAGCCGCTCACGAGGTACTCGGTCGCCTCGATCGGCGCCGCCTCGTTGGTGGGCAGGATGACCCAGCTCGCGGCGCCCTCGCCGTTGCCGGGCAGGGTGCCCGTCCCGTCGACGGCGGTGAGCTCGCCCGTGATCTCGGGCGGGAAGATGCCGAAGAGGTCGGTCGCTTCATCGCCCAGCGTGTTGCGGATGCGGATCGTGACGCCGAGCGACTCGAGCGGGTTGTCGCCCGCGTTCTCGATCTCGAGGGTCGCCTCGAAGGCGGTGCGGGTGACGGTGAGCTGCTGGTCGAGCTGGATGCGGACCGTGGCGCACACGCCGTCGCCGCCGTCGGTGACGTCCAGCGCGAGCGTCTGCTCGGCGTACTGCATGGCGTCGGAGACGGACTCGAACTGCTCGTCCATGGCCCGCATCTCGGCCTCGGCCGCGAACTCGATGAGCACGCGGATGAGCTCGAAGTCGATGAAATCGGGGTTCACGCCGGGGGGCAGGTCCGCCTCGGTCATGATGCCCTGGTCGTAGTAATCGAGCGAGCGGTTCCACCGGGCGACGAAGGCGTCGAGGTGGACCGTGGTGAGGTAGCCGGGCAGGACGGTGGAGAGCAGGTCGCGCTCGCCGCCGGTGATTCGCTCGCCGTTGTCGGTAGACGTGCCGGTGACCATCTGCCACGTGGTGACGAAGTCCTGGAATTCCATGACGTTGTCGGCGTCGAGCGGCTCGATCCAGGCGATATCGCCGAAGGTCTCGACGAGCGGAAAGAGCGTGGAGAGGTAGGCGTAGTAGTAGTACGTGTAGTAGTCGGCCTCGAGGTCGCCCGTCTCGGGGATCTCGATCATGTACGCGCCGTCCTCGCCGCGCCCGATGGCGCCGCCGATGAGGCCGCCGAGCGTGCCGATGAGGTCGCCGGGCGAACACGGAACGAGCGAGGAACCACCCGCACCGACACTCTGGCACAGCGCGCAGTCGCGGAGGACATTGCAGATGCAGTTGAGCTGACCGGCGAGCGGCGTGAGCTGCACGACGCAGTTCACACCCGCGGCGACGCAGCCGGAGGCGGACGTGATGATGCCGCCCGGGCTCGATCCGTCGAACGTGCCGGCGCAGAGCGCGAGGCCCGCGGGGCAGCCGGCGCCGGGGATGCAGCCGACCGCGGACGCGGCGCAGCGCGGGATGCACGGGTCGCAGGCGATGGGCTGGGTCTGCGTGGGCGGCCAGCTGATGGCGGGGCCGTCGTTAAAGCCGGGGTTGCCGATGGCGGGACCGCCCGGGAAGCCGCCGCCGCTGATGGGGAAGCCGCCCGGCCCCGAAGCGGGCGGGCACATGTTGGTGTAGATGATCGACGGGCCGCAGTAGGTGTACGTCGCGTCGCCGCAGGTCAGGTTGTGGCACTCGAAGACGGTGATCGGGTCGCAGGGGTTCCCGCGGTCCGGCACCGGCACGACGATGACCGGGACCGTCA